ATGACCTGAAATGACCATTAAGCTGATTTTAACATGAATTTACTGAATTGCTGATCGGACCAAACTCTCGGCCGTGGCACTCGCTACATGCGAGGCCTACGGCCTTCGGCCGCCTCTCGACCAAAAAAAGGCAAGCAACTCGACCGATTAAACTGTACTGAACTTAACATGAATAAACTGATCGAACATGATCTGAAGATTCAGCAAACACATATCGCACATGCAATGGCCACGACGAGCGCCCGTGCGCCGCCGACGGCTACACGCCGTCTCTCGGCCAAACTAACATCTTATCCGACAGCTACCGAATCACATAACATGATCTTTATACTGGAACAGAATAAGGCTCAATCACACGGAAGAACATGATTAATACTGAAGTAACAAGCCTCGGCCCGCGGCTACCCGAGGTTACGCGCGATAGGCGCGGGGGCGCCGGCTGGGGCCATTTCATCGGCAAAACTTCACTTTTATACGACAATTCTTGCTTGACTGAACATAGTTAAATGAATAAGGACTAAATAAACGGTAAATGCACGGAACATGTCGGACTGAATTGAACATAAATCGATTATGATCTTACTCAACCTTACCGGACCTAAGGCACGGCTTTAATCTGAAAATTCCGACAATTAACCGAACACTTAAGTCTAACATGACCTAATCATCAAGAATAGGGACTGAGGAGAGCAGTACCTCTTCAATCGCTCGACGGGAAAACGAAACAAAGCGTGCTGCTTGCCTTGCGCTCGCCGTGCGGTTACACTTGACTTTGCCGTGCGATGGTGCTGAAGATTTGGGAGAATTTGCTTAACTCTAAATAGCTGCTGAAGGAGGAGTAAGTACTGAATAGAGTGCTGGTTTCTTAGGGGAAAATTGGGGGGAAAATTAACCAAGGCACACCTTATATACACGGCCAAGAAGAAAGAGAGGTGATGACCGTGTGATGTTGGGTGGACGTGGCTAAACTTAGCCTTAACACTTGTTTAACTCCTTATTGAGTTAAGGATGACTAAGCACTTTATTTCTTTGACAAATTGCTTGATTTTATTGGTTAAAAATCCTTTCCTCAAGCACAAGGAACTCACGGCAATGCATAAAGATTTTTGGGAAAATAATCTCCTTAACCCACGGCTAATTAGGCTAGACTTTAATTAATTGCTAATTAACTACTAACTTTATGTTTAATTATTAATTAAACATAATACTTAATTACCCAAATTATTTCGAACGTAAACGATACGTCGAAAATATATTTCGGTAATCTCGACTGAACTTAATTAATTCCGAAATAATAAACAATACCGTTACTATATCGGAATTAAACGTAATTTATACTGATAATATCTCGGGATATTACAGTCTTAGGAGACAACTCCTTAGATAAAGGTACTCCATGTCTGAAAGGTAATGTACCTCTCTTAGAGTTTTGCATACTGAATCTGGCCAAGACAGTATCTATATATGAAGACTGGGATAAGCACATCATTCTTTTCTCACGATCACGAATGATCTTGATGCCAAGTATGTGTCCTGCTTCACCCAAGTCCTTCATATCAAACTGCTTAGACAACCATGCCTTTACGTCCGACAACTCCTTGTTGTTGCCAATAAGAAGTATGTCATCCACGTATAGCACAAGAAACACCACCACGCTTCCACTAATATTCTTGTATACACAGTGCTCATCTGGACATTGGATTAATCCATATGACTGGATTACCTCATCAAACTGAATATTCCAAGACCTTGAGGCTTGCTTCAGTCCATAAATGGACCGATTAAGCTTACAAACTAAGTGCTCATGCCATTTTGCAATGAATCCTTCTGGTTGCTGCATATAGATGTCTTCCTGAAGGTTCCCATTAAGGAAAGCTGTCTTAACATCCATCTGCCACACTTCATAATCCATATGAGTGGCTACAGCTAAGAGAATCCGAATGGATTTAAGAATAGCTACTGGCGAAAAGGTTTCATCATAATCGATACCCTCTTTCTGGGTATAACCTTTCGCAACAAGCCTAGCTTTAAAGGTTTCCACCTTTCCATCTGATCCCCTCTTTCTCTTGTATACCCACTTGTATCCAGTGGGACGTATCCCATCGGGTGGTTCTACAAGATCCCAGACCTGATTGGTG